ACAAAATATATTTTTAATCTTTCGATATTAAAACCAATATTGAAAACGGTATTTAAAAAAAAATAATAAAAAAATTTAAAAAAAATACTTTTATATGCTCCCATGAAATACAAAATATTTTCACACACATTTGTGCTCCGCTAAAATACGAAATACAATTGTGTCTTACGAATACTGTTTTTCAAATAAAAATATTTCAAATGCATGCCCAGCTCTGTCTATATAATATAAATATGTAATTGTATATTTTTTAAGGTCTGCTGCATCTGTATGGTATCCTAATGGAGTCATTGATAATAACAATGCAATTCAATAAGAACGATAGCAAGATAACATAATTAGAAATGTTGGTAAGCTAATGTTTTATTAAAACATTAATATTATTAATAGATTTATAAAGAGAAATTTTTAATGTATTATAGGGTGTTCCAAACTTTTTGAAGAATATAGGACTTTTCGACTTAGTTTAGTCCGCTCTATCTAACTATTCTCTAGAATATCTCAAACTTTTTGACACACCGTTTATAGGAGGTGTGTCAAAAAGTTTGGGACACCCTGTACACATTGTAGCATTTTAAGTAGAACTATCGTGATAACACGAAGCCAACTATATTTTAAGAAAAGACGATTGAATATATTAAAAAGTGACCGAATTACTTTGTACATATGTTATATTTTAAAAAAGAATTTTAAAATATTGTTTGCATTTTGTAAAATAATAGAATTATTTTATGTTACATATTTTAAAAGAGAATCTTAAAATATTATTTGCATTTCTTTATGAAAATGTCCATTTAACATTATACTCAATTAAAGGGTTTTTTTTTTTATAAAAACCAACGAAAGATTTCATTAAAAACATTGTTTCACCTTTAAATCGTTCCTTGATAAATTATTAAATATAATAATTTTTCTCCGATCATATACATAACAGGTATTAAAACAAAGTTTTAGGCTTTGATTAATACTTTAAAAACCTTGATTACGCATTTGAGGCTTTTACGGGTATTATCTTCAATTATACCAGAAAGTTTACGGATTATCACCGTGTCTTTCTTCATTTTTAATGCTGACATTTTGTGAACCATGTTTAACAACAAATTTAATTCTTATGGGAAACCCTTTAATTGTTTTATGATATATTCATATGATTATCAACAAATCAATGTTTTAAAACATAATTTGTTAATTTATTAATTTTGAGCTGTGATATGCTTATGACGCAGTGTAATGTGATAATTATTGTTAATAGGATTGCATTAATATAATTATTTTTTACTTCCATATTGCTTGTAACTCAGACTCGAGAGTGTTTCTTTACTTATTAGTGTTTCTTAAAAGTTTTTTTTATTCTCAATATAAGAATCTTATTTTTTTATTTTTTTTACAAATAGAAGATTAAAAAGTCATAAAGAAAATATTTATATATATTAGAATGTCGCAATTGTTTTATACTTCAATCAAATGTTTTATCTCTTTACTGTGGAGACGGTATATTGAATGACAGAATTGTGATATTTTTCAATCTAATCGACAGAGCTTTAGAAGGCAAGGTTATGTATATTGTAACTTCAGTGTTTTTGTCTAGGATCTATGAAATCTTCTGATCACTTTCTTTGTAACATATATTTTTCTACTTCTCTATATTTGAGATTTTTCACATCATAAATATGTAAATCTGAAACCATCTCACCAGTTTTATCTATATTTTTTCGCTATAGCGTTTTACAAAAATAGCAAAGATATATTAAATGTAGAATTTAATACTATTTTCCATTTGAGATGTATTTTATATAAAATGTATTGACTTACCTCTATATAAGCTACTCTGGCTGCTTTCTAGCAACGTATACTAGCGCCACTGTGTAACACTGTGCGATTCCGTGCTTTTCAACTATAATATAAATCGACACAATTGTCTACAGCTAAAATGTGTTCGATTGTGTCATCATTCACAAAATATCATATTTTTATAGGAAAACTTCGGTTACTTGCGCTATGCGGAAATTTACACCGCAGAAGTTAAAAAAAATAAAAGAAATGAGAGTAATTTGCAAGCAACTATTCCGTTATATTAGTATCGTGCTTTTATGTTACATTAGTATTACGTTATGACTTTAGTGAATCGATCTGTCAATGTAAGTACAGTCAAGATTTTTATAATTTTTTAGTTCATGTGAATTTGATAATTTTTACATATAGAAAACTATAAGCTGAAAAAAAGAGAAACTTTTCTTCTCACTTTGTGAGTCTATCATGTACCAAAAAAGAATTTGCAAAAATTTTCAATTATCTAACGTTGAACCACAAAATTTAAAATTTTTCGTAAAATTTTGTTTTTAAAAAATGTTCCGACGACTTTTTGTTTCAGAATTATTCACGAGTTAAGTAAAGGAACATTTTGATTACTCATAACTTCGTTAAAAATCGTACCATAATTAAAAAATCAGATTCTTAAAACTAAAACTTTGCTCTATCAAATGGTATAATCGCTAATTTTTTAAATGTAGAATTTACAATTTTGAGTTATTAAAAAAAAGCAGAAGCTTTCCTCCAACCCAGTATATTTATCATTCTAATTCTTTAATAAAACTTTGTAAACACATTTTATTGTGTTATTTTACATCTTATTTCTAAGCAATAATTGTAAATTTTTCATGAGCTGTACGCGTCCCATGAGTAGCCGTCCCATCTCTATGAGATGCAATAAAAGTGCAAGAATTTTAAAGTTCTAACAAAAATACGTATTTTGGGGAATTTTAATATTTTTTTCATAGTAGTAAATAGTACAAAGTTTTTACTGGTATAGTTTATATTTATTTTAAACATAATAAATAATACTTAATAAATTAAATATTATACAAATTAACTATACCAGTAAAAACTTTGTACTGTTTATCACTATAAAAAAAATATTAAAAATCCGAAATACCTATTTTTAAAATAAATTAAGTATTATTTACTATGCTTAAGATAAATATTATATTTGGTATGTTTTTGTTAGGTGTGGCGTATATACCGAAGTTATCCTATTTTATTACCATTTACTTTTCTGAAAATAATACTCTGATAGTTCTACAAGAGAGATTATATTTAAACATTCGAATTTAGATTATAACAATTCGAACTTAGATTAGGAAGCTTTTTATTCATTACACTTTAACTATAAAATAAAAAAGCTAGCAACGTTTCACCTATAAATCGAGTGTGTATTATTGTGTCACACAGTGTATAACTATTTTCCGTTGCTGAGAAGTATTTAATAATTGCTGTGATTCTGTAAAATAGCAATTGAAGTTCTGCAATGTTTATGCCATAACATTTTTAAAGAAATTAGTTATTTTTTATGTAAGGTGCTAAAAGAAATCAATGAAAGTAACGTTACTCAATTAAAATGTGATTATGTGTTATCAAATGTAATAATTAATAACGTGTATGGCTCGTGTTCAATGTACAAATATAACACTAACAGATGGCAAGAGTCTACGAGAAAGTGTATGTGAAAACGTTGCGTATTTAATAATTGTACAATCTCAAGGAATAAAATATATATTTTCTTTCGTAGTGTTTCCACAAAAATAAAAAAATATACTATTATCAAAATACTATTAAAGAATTATAAACTTATGTCGAAAGTTTGATTATTTAAATGATCAATTTATAATATATTAATAACTTTATACTTCATTGTTATATATATAATATATATATAAACGTTTCATAAATGTATACCTCTATTATATATGATTCTATAATACATAGATACATATTTATATTTAAAATCACTTTGTTATCATATGTTTGATTATTTACAATATATTCTATGCAAATAATAATTGTTAACAAATGTAGCTCTGTGACAATATATAGAATATTATTGCATCGTAAATATGCGTGTTTATTTGTGAAGCATCCTTATAATAAAAAATCATTGTAATGTAAATGTAAAATAAAAAAATTGTTCTGTTAGATCTGCTTGTAAATTTTTGCAAGCAAATCTAATAGAATAATTCTGTAATTGGCAATCCGCTGCATGGGATATAAGGAACAAAATTGTCATGTACGTAAAACGACGGATCGTCAACGATTGGTTGGATCCACGGAAATACGCGCGTGCAGCGATACGCGTCATGGAACGGCACCCACATGGCTCCAGCACATGATAGGGGCTGTAAGCTCATTGGCTACCGCGTTACATTTTGCCGCGCGGCAAGCGTTTCCGCGTCCAGTGTGCTGAAACCATTAATTTCTCTTGCAGCATTTGCTTGTCTTTTTTTTCTCCTAGAATACACTCATCATATTTTTTGTCAGATCTCGCCGCGTTCAACAAATTTTGTTCACTCGCGTAAAATCTTCGTTTATCTTCCATCTTCTATCCCAGCGAGAAATGATAATGAAATCGACATCGAATTGATGTCGATTCAACGTCGAAATCATCAATTTGACGTCAAATTGATATCGATTCGACGTTGATTTCATTGTCATTTCTCAATGCATTGTCAAATAAAAAAAAATAAAAAATATATATATATATAATTATATAAATATTGTATAAATTACTATAAAAAATATTATAAAAGTATCTTAATTAAAATCGGCATACGATGCTGTTTTCCTGCTAGATTGCTTGCGTTTTTTGAAAATTATTAGAATTGTACCACACAAAATTAACGCAGATTTTCTAGCTAAAACGTAAACAATTCAACAAGAAAAACACAATTTTCACACTATTCTTTTAGAAGAGATCGTTTCTCGTTTCACTTAAATTTTTCCATTTTTTCACTTTTTTTACTTTTGCACTATTTTTGCTTTTCAGAAGAGAAGAAGTCACAAACAAGAGTTATTTAAATTTCTTAAATTAATAAGCAAACGACAAAAACTGATTTCCGTTACTGAGAACTTACTGATTTCGCGCATGCGCATTCCATTTTGGGCTTCATAAAATCAGGAGAGTTGAGCTACTGTATACTGTATATACTGTGGTCAAGAGAGTTTCTCTCTGGTTTCTGGTACAGTTATCGATAATTTTCGTTATCTGCAATCATTATTACTACATTCAATTAATTTTGAATATTTTGAGTAGAGAGTGCCGTACTCTTAATTGTTGATCTTAACACATGAATAGCAATTTTCAAAAAGAAAAATGAATAAACATCATTCACACGAATTGAGTGAACATCCAGAGGTTCAATGGGCTCTTGAGCTGCTCAAGCCAGATCCTACGTATGAGCCCAGTTTTCTGTCAAAGTACTCGCCGGAAATAATATTTATCCTAGGCGGCTTCGCATATCCGTCTTTGGCAAATGTATTATCCAGTAAGCCGTTCTACGCCAGTAAGTGTCTCTCAATTTCTTCAGCGAGATCACAGTAAACGCGAAATTTTATTTCTTTGTTCTAAGCAACTTGATCTTGTGAAGCAGTTATGTAATGTGCAATAATCGTTTTCGGATAATTGTGTTTCTATTTTACGTGTATATTTTCTCTAGCGTCCGCGCACACACGCGAGCGGCAACAAGAAAATTTAGTAATTATATAGTTTAATCTCCACAACTAAAAAAATCAATAAAATTATATTTTGATGTATTTTTGGATAAAATGAAAAAATTTGGTAGTAAATGTTTTTCTTAGTCCCACGAAATGAGATATCAATTATTATTAAAATTAACTATTGTTAGGTTAGGAAATCTGTCGATGGTATAGAAGGTTATACAGCAATAAAACAAATTCTCTGATTTAAAAACAAATTCTCTTCTGCAAAAATTAAAATTATATAGAAAATGACTTGTATTTTTAAAGCAAATAAGAATTTGTGTAGCCTTCTATGCTATTGATTTCAATATATATTATTGATGTGACAGATTTCCTCATTTAACAATAGGTAACTTTAACGATTAATATCTTGCTTCATGGGACTGAGCACAACAATGTTAGATTCTTCTAATTTATGCAAAAATGTGTTGTATGAGCTTAATTTTGTTGAAATTGAAAATAAGGAGCGTCTTCTAGATAATTACCATAATCAACCAGAATTGGTCAATTTCTTATAAGTTAAGATTTAAAGATTTGGTAATATTTTATTATAGAAGAGGCTCATGTAATTTTATTTGTGATAGCCTTAATTCTACAATGAGCTATTACCTAATCTTCAAGTTTTAAGTCATAAGAAATTAACTAATAACAGTTGAATGTGAAAAAAATAATCGACTATGATAAGAAATACATAAATCTAACAAATATTGATTATAATCTGAAACAAAATATTTTTGTTTAGGAATACAGAAGCATATTATGTTCGTAGCAGGGGGATACATTGTGTCACAATTTGCAAAGAAACTTGTTGACAATTATCAAGCGGAACGTGATACAAAATTGAGAGATTACATTATACGACATCCAGAACTTTTTCCTGAGCCAGGTAACGCGCTCTTCTCTATTCTTGATAAGAGAAAATTAAAATATTAAATAAAAGTAATCTTTCTGCTTGCACTTTGCAAACACACACACATATATATATTTTGCAGAATTGGAAAATAATGACTTATTTATAATGTTTTTATCATATATTGTTACTTTTTTAACTATCAATCATTTTTTGTGTCCATAACAGTAATAATAATATTACTGTTATGGACACAAAATATTACATATAAAACAATAACAAATTTAACTTTTATCGTTATTTTTTATCAAAAAATATTAAAAATTTTAAAAGTTTAAAAATTTATTATATAAAGTTTTTTTTTAATATGTTAAAATTAAGATCATTAAAAAGCTACATTTCCATGTTTTACAATGTTTAAAGTATATGTTTAGTAATTTTTATGATCTTAAAGAACAAAAGCTGTAAAAAAAAAATATGGCAATCGATTGAAAGTATTGGAGAGTCATTTTGCTTCCTATGTGACTAACATAAAATTCTCAAGAAGTGTAACTATGAAGGGTTAATTTAAGGAAAAATTTGCTATACAGAGATTGTAATTAAAAATTTTAATATTGGTTATTAAACAATGTAATTAATCTTATATCTCTTTAATATTATAAAAATGTAACAAAAAGAATATATTAACAAATTATTACTTTTTAAATAGCAGTAATACATTATTTTTGGTAAATTAATAACGGTAGTAAGTCACTTTTTTTGAAAAAGTAACATTAATTAAATAAGATGTTATTTTTACAAAGTAATATTTTTAGAACCCATTTCTACACAAACATAAGTGTAGTTGTAAGCGGTTGTAGTTGCAAAAATCAATCAACCACACGAATTTGAGAATATTCAACTGTAATTGTCAACTTTTATGACTTGCAGTGCTTACGCAATTATAGAATGAACTTAACCCTGGTATTTTATAATTAATACATTCACCATCATGGTCGCTGGTAACCAACACTGATTATTTTGTTTATGCTTTATTAACTACTAATAATTGTTATGGAGCAACAGTCATATAAATACTCAAATATTCTCGCTCAAAAGTTTGAACATCTTTATTTACTAACTTCGTAAATATAAAAAATATTTTATATTATTTTAATTATATATTTTATTTCAATAATATTCAAAGATAAAAATTAATATTTTCAACAACATTATTATATTTGTAAAGATTTGTTCAGTTTTATCTAAAAAATTATAGTTCCAAACTTTGATAATAGCATATATCATATTTTTATGAAAACTCAAACGTTTGTTATTAATTTAATACTATGAATTTTTAACTGACAATTAAAAGAGTTTTCATTGTTCTTTTTAATATAAAAATTATCAAACTCTGTTTTAACAAAAAGCTAGCTAAAATTCCAATTATGGTGAATGTGTTAACAGGAAAAACTGTAGCATGCATCAAATATCTGCTTATCATAATCTGACTTATAATGTTACATGGCTGCTCTTGTTTCTTTTTCCAGAACGTATAAAGTATAACCAAGTGTTGGAGGCGTGGACCCCAATACGTTAATTATTGAAAACTGTTAGAGTTGATTGTACCATGTTGATTGCATATCCTTTGCAATGCAGACAGACAGTGCAGTTCAATGCAATGAATGCAAATGTAGACATATTGTGTATATATTTTAAAATATATATCTATATATATAAAATACATAATATTTCAGCTAACGCGAAAATAACACATTGTTTTTATGAAGTAAGATAAATAAGTAAATGTTGTATATAAGAAAAATTATTTCAAAATTGTTGCTAACCTGTAGAAATAAAAGATTTTTTTAGATTTTATGTAGCATCACGAAACACATTTTATTTTCTCTTTTAGATTGAGCAGTACACACTTAATATCAATAGATGCGAACTTTGTCGAGTAAGTACACTGAAACCTCGTAATAGCATGCGATTCGGAGGTCTGTCCGAACGTTATAATGAGGTTGCTTCTATTTCATTCCAAAACAATAAAATTCAAGATTTTAGTGGCTATTGCTACAGTGCTGCTTTTCACTCATGGTACTTGTAGCATAAAAGGGATTTTTCATTTCGAGGTTTACTATTACGAGGTTTCAGTGTATATGTCGTATACGAAGATAGTATAAATTTACGTATACTGACTCGTATGTATATTTTAAATACAAATTAAAATTTTATCAGGTTTCTCCAATATTAAATAGTAAGATGCTTAATACTTGTGTAGTCGATAATAAGTCTATATCGCACACACATACAAGACATTTACTTTGATAACAACGAAACGCGAATCGTTTGCACTAAATTAAATCTAACTCAAGTGACACTCCTATTTCTTTTCAGGATTGTAATTATCATTGTATAATCCTGTACCCTTCGAGTCTCCTAACCAGGGATACTTGTTTGGACACTCTCTACACGTTTCCATATACCTGTTACAATTGATAAATATAGTTATGATTACTAAAATATTTAGTTACTATTTCGTAATTCTATGTGTTATCGAGAGTTAGATAAATTTCTACCTAGTCGTTGTGAAATTTGATTCGGATGGCTTGAAGTCTAAAGCACACTTGTGTGGATTGTTACACGGTGGTCCAGGTAAATTCTCTTTCTTTTTACATGACCATCCTTCAAAGTTATGTAGAGCTTTAATCGGTTTTGGATCAGTCATCCATGTTAACGCCTGCGTGGCGGTTACAAAGTAAACATCAGGTCTGTAAAATAAAAATGCAATATTTATTTTCAAATATCGAGATTTTTGATAAATATATATTTTACGTATTTTGACTCACAGCGTTACCACCCAATCGAGAAATTTGGACAGACCGCGTTCCAATTCTTTGATTTGAAACCAATTAGTATGGAAAGGCATCATGTACGGCGCTCTGTTTTGTTCGTAATATCTATTGAAGTCCTCCTGCAACCAGTCAAACACCTCTTCTGGATCGTGATTGTGAAGAACACATTGATCTAAGTAAGGACAGTGTCCACCTTCATAACTCTCCACATAATGCGCATTCAACGGTAACTCCCAAATTCCTATGATATATATATATATATATATATAATATATAAACATTTCTTTGAAAAATACCATATAACAATATGCTATTGTAAATTAATTGTACTAAATTAGTAACAATTTTTAATATTTTTGTATTGCTATTTTAGTTGAATAGATGAGACTAAGGTCAATATTTAGAGTCCATTCTTATTTCAAAATTATCTTAGATGTTAAATGTTAATATGGTTCTGTGATTGACTTATGACATCTTCAGACCGTACTTAAGACGATCTTAAATATAAAATTATAAATATCAGTCGTGCGCATGCGTCGATATTCATAGTTGAATCTTATATTTGAGAATGTCTTAAGTCAGTCTTAAAATGTCATAAGTCAATGGCCGGTATTCATAGTCGGTTCTTATATTGAAAGCCGTTTCAAGTTCAGTCTTGAAGAGTTACGAACCAATCAGAGGACCGCTTTAGCATCTTAAGACATTACTTAAGACAGTCTTGAAATAAGAACCGACTATGAATACCGGCCAAATGTGAAAGAACTGCATTATCATCTTAAGATATTACTTAAGACGATTTTAAAATAAGAACACAATGTAAATGCCGCCCTATATCTTTGTCATGATTCTATTACCTTGGAATGATTTGGTGGGACAAGTGCCTGCTTTACATTCGTGCGGGATCTTGTAGTCGAGGGTATACGGCCAGATCGGCACTTTCAATGGCGAAATTCCTATGCTACTGTCGTATATGTATCCAAAGTCCTCGAGCACCTTATACTGAGTATTACGACCAGGTTTCAAGTAAGGCGCTCGCATACCAACGACTTCACCAGTCGAAATATTGCTGAAGTGCTTTAATATCTCGCGCATTCCGATCATCTCGCCAACCCATTCCTCATAACCTTTATCCTCCAAGCCTTTTTGAAGTCTGAAAATATTTATCTTGTCAGCGAAATGATCTTAATGCACCCCGAATATTCACACTACTCACGAGATCGTCTCAGTCGCAATCTCGTGACCGTCATGCGCCAGACTCTGAACCATATTGTAATTGCAGTATTCGTGAGAAATGAAGAACGTGCCCTTCAGTGGACAATTGTTGGGATTCAGGCGATCTTGGGTGAATATCTTTTGATAATGATCAAAGTTATTGTGATTTATTGCACCATCGAATGTCATTATTATCATTTGCGGCGTCTGGAATTATTCGAATCATTGTATTTGTCTGTATTTGAGTAAATCGATAGATTATCGCGAGAATTTGCAGTCAAGTTACCTCCTCTGGGTGAAGACCACCGGGAATTATCGTGCCGTCCCTGGAACAGAAGCAGTACGGAAGTAGACAATTCGCCGTGTCACAACGCTCAGCCAAATCCGTTGGCGGCTCAGTGATTGGTGCTGGTGCTGAAAATTAAGACATTATCAGAGGCTGCGAATGTCTACACATGTGTCTACTGTACATATGCTTTAGCGAATAAACAAAGACTAGAAATGGCAAGCTTAAAAAATCATAATTGTATCATTAGAAAAATTACTTTTTGAAAACCTATAGGTACAGTTCCCTTTCTGAATCTTGCGTTCGTTTTACAAATCAACTTAATTTAATCTATAAACATAAAAGTATCTACTTACTGGTCTCGATGGGTCCGCATCGCGCCTCGTTTTTGAAGGTGCAAAATTTATTAATGTCGTCGAAATGCAGACCCGATGGACATCGGTTCAAGTAAGGATATCCATCGACGCACTTTCAGAAAATAATAAAGAATATGTAGGTACAATCGCGAATAACGAAACGAAGATAAATAATGCAGAGCTGACCGGTAGCAAAAGCAAGGTAGTAATCAGAATAATGTGTAAAATATATACGTAATTATCTAAACAGCGCACAATATTTATGAAATATTTACAAAATATTTGTAAATTTATTTTTAATATTTTATATAAACATTTTTGTGATCTTAGATTGCACAGATCGTAGATATTTTTATTATAAGAATTACGAAATATTTCATATATATTATAGATTATTATAAATGCGAGAGAGAGTCTACATTTTAATGTTTTCGAATAAAACTTATATATATGTAAAAAATATGTATAAAATATTTATATAATATTTCAAAAAGTGAATAATAATATTTACGAATATTTATTATAAATATTCTGTGCTGTCTGGGCATGATTTGATAAACTAATAATTACTAAATTACCTGATAAAACCTTCTGCAAGTTGCCGGATCGGCGAAGTTACCGTTACCTTGGCCCTCCGGACACCTGAACTCTTCGTCTTTCTTATCCTCATCTTTTTTATTCTTCTGACAATATACTGCAGAGAAGAGATGAAAGAAGTTCAATAACAGGAGATAATGATTTTCCATTAATGCAGAAAATGTGCACGACACTCGTCATATATGTGCATATATAAATATACATCGCGAAAAAGAATTTTCTCTCCTTTTTCCATCCTCGTCAAAACAACAAAGCATTTAATTAACCATAATCTACGCAAATATTAAAATACTTTCATCTTTATCGTTTGCGTATATCATATTCTTTTCATTCCAGACGATTATAAAAGTCCAGACATTTTATTTGGTTTTAGAAAGGAGAAGATCATGATCGCGTGCGATCGTACGGATGATTTAATGCTTCGAAAGTCGCTAAACGCTAAACCAGGAAAATGTCAAGGTTGGGGATCGCTTACTTGAGACACGTTTACGCCCGAGTGTATTTATGCTCTTGTATGCTCCAAATGAGGCCAACTGGCTGCTGGCTATCAAGTGCCTGCGTTCCACTTTTACTGCGTTCTTTCTGTCAAATGTTATTACGTTTCAAGCTGCATGATTACGCTCGACAGCAATGACAAAACGATGACTTTAATGAATGGACAGACTGCAGTAGTTGCTAGCGCAAATTTGTAACGTTGCATGAGCTACTTACATGTAGAATATTTTAGGAACAAGCGTTTTCCCATCAAAAATTGCGAGTCCTTACATTTTCGATCTCTCTATGCAGACTAATATTTACTATTTTATCACTTATTCAACAGGATAAGGAAGAGGATAATACATCGCGTATTTATGCACACGAGACGCACTCGGACGCGTGTCGAAAACATGGGCGAGAGAAATTCCAGAAGAGAAGTTTGAGAAAGCGAGAAACGTGATTGCGGGCATTCCAATATGTTTGAGTATGTGAGTGTGCACGGACAAGCGTTTATGCTCCTTTCGGTGAAACGCAAATGCGTTAAAAGCATCTAAAAGGCGGAATTGCATTAGCACTACAACAAATTTCCAAGCATTAACATATTTCAAAGCTTCGTAGTCTCGCGCGTTTTTTTTTTCATCGCTCCTTTAAACTGAAAATTAGAACCGCGTCAGAGATAGAAATCTCCATGAGGCATTACATTAATAATTGTAGAATGTTTTTTTTTTTAAATTCTCGCGCCATTGATAGCGCACGAAATGTCAGTGCACTGATAATATCTTCGATCCTTAATCCAGATGCCGTGAATGGATCTTATACATACAGAAGGTTTTGAACTTGTTACACTAAAAAAAATTTTGGTCAACCAATGATCGTTAATCAATGTTCAACTTAATGTCTAATTAATTTATTAATACAATAATTTTAGTTGTTAATATAATTACATTATTTATTCTTGCAATGAATTCTATAATAACAGTTTTATGATTTATAAATCATTATGAAAATTCATTGAACCAATTTTCATTAATTCAATGAATATTTTATTATATTTACGTACAGTTTTGGTTCAGTGTACACGCTGGTCCTCCACTACGATGCACCGTTATTTAGCTGTTCAGTCAAGCGTGCAATGCATCGATTTATGTAGAACGCTTGAAGAATCTTTGAATGCCGGAAGAGTTCTTTAGCTATTCCAGACGCGCCACCGTGACTGCATACGCAAGTGTTGCACAAGTTTTCGCGAAATTCATAACACGCATTCGTGGTAAATGGATGTGCTTCAGTTAATATTATGTCTACATTATATGAAGCTCCGTATGCAGTCAAGATTCTTATTTAAATATTTTACGTACATGATATTTTTCTCTTAATAATAAATTTGAACTTGTATTTAATTAATGTACATAACTTAATATTGAAATTTGGATTAATTATAGGAACAGCGGTACGAGCGAACGCGAGATATATACTTAATAAGAGAAATTGTACAATGTGCGATCGATATGGAGATCCGAAGATATTAAAAAATGGTGCGTAGCGCTCGCGAGAGAAAGTAACACCTGTAAAGATTCTTCCCAGTGACCTTATAATCGTTATGCGTAGCACATTTTTTTTATTCCGCACTCCTTTTACTTATAATATTGTAATTAAATCAAAATGAGATTATATTACCCTACAAAAATTTTTTCTTAAAGTTTTTCACATTATTTTTCAGAATTTTTCTATATAACTTTATAACTTTTCTTTAAAATTCCTTAGATTTTTATACAAATTAGAATACTTTTTAGGAATGCTGAAAATGTCTAAATGTCTATACCAGAATTCTTAACATACGTAAATTCAGAGATTCTAAGATTTTTTAAATTTCTCATATTTTATAATTTTCGAAGAAAATTACTAAAATCTGAAGAAGCTTAAAAAAGGTTTTTTTCAGATATCATTATTTTAAATAATTCTCAAAAATATTATGAATTATAAGAATAAAAGTATTATAAGATATATGAATTTTTGTTATTAAAGCCAAGCGGCACACAATGCTTGTTTTCCTGCCGGATTGCTAGCTCAATTAGATTCTTGCCATATGTATTAGCTGCAATACTGACAATGCCAATACGATGGCAAGAATCTAATTGAGCTAGCAATCCAGCAGAAATATAAGTATTGGTGCCATCGGCTTAAGATATGTATGTCTTTCCAAAAATCCCCACAATTTGCGATTCCGTTTGATTAAACAATGAAACAAGATAATTACTCTGTGATAATTCGCAACGTAAGCTTCAAGGTAATGAAGTCTCCTTGATATGTATGGAAAACCAATCGGAAATTACACGTGAAACACCTGATATGTGTAAATCGATCGCTCGGTGATTAAAATGCCCAGCAATGCCACGGAATCGTGATCTCACTTTCGCTAGCTATATTTCCTGATACAATAACGGATGACTTGAAAGAAATGGAATATATTTCGTTACAAAGTTATATTATAGATTTCTATAATTTGCGAGGTCAGAGATTATCAGTGAACCTTTAGAACTCCTTTTCTCTTTTTAATCTATCTCGTTTAACTTTTCTTACAGAGATCTAATTTGATATATATTGACTAATTTAATACTGAAAAAGATAGTGATTAATTATTACTTATTTTAAATATTAAAAGTACTCAATAACAATGGTGCTTCCTGTATAAATTCTGTATTTGAATTTTAAAAGTATTGAACAACGTTTTAATATACTCAAGGTAATTAATCACTACCTTCAAATATTAAATTTCTATAGGATTTGGTAAAATATCCGCAATAAACTTCCCTTCAAAATGTATAATCTATTTCTTTTCCAGGTAAAATTATAGGCGACAAGAATTAATGAAGATAGGACGCGGTGTAGCTGCAGCTCGTCGAGAGAGGTGCTCGCATTCGCGGATGTCAAAGCGCTAAGGTCCGTTTAGCGGTAAAGTGGAAAGTGAAGGTATATACCAACACATTGGCAATGACGTTGCATTCACGGCGCGTTCTTTCGTTCTCTCAGGTACATTTCCTTCTATCGTCCGGACGCACGCACACGTGCGGTGACACGTGTGTGCACTCTTTCGTTCACATAGATACATATACATACATACGCCATATGCGCGTGAAATAAATCTTATGTAAACGCGAGTGAAACCACCGACGTATTGAATTTGATCGGCGCGTCCATGTCGTCTCTCGCCTTGGATTTCTACGTTTTACTTATATTTATTTTTTTATTTTTTTTCGTTCTACAGACTGACTGAAAAATTTGTCTCGCTGCAGATTCATAAATTCTTATGTAGATAAAAGTCGAAAAATTTTGTAGATAGATCAATTAATGCGACTAATGTGATAAAACCACATCTGATTATCTATTCTTCGATTAGATTATCTAGTGGAAAAATTACACTGAAATTATTTCACGTTTTGGCAAAACTCTCTCTCTTTTTAGCAAAATTTTAACATTTCAGAAAAATTTCATTTAATTTTTACGATTTTTAACTAAAAAAAATTCATTTTCAGCAAAATTTCAGAGAAGTTTAAACAATTTTTCAGTATGTTAGTTAAAACATTCACTTTTAGTGAAATTTCAACAAATTTTCAACAATTTCACTGAAATTTGTTCCAAAACGTAAAATAAATTTAGCAAAATTTTTCACGAGAATCATTTATATATGCACGTTTATTTCTATGATAAAATAATAGATTCAAATATAGAATAACAAGCTGCTTTAGTATACAATTGTTTATTGGATCGTTATAATTAAATATTTCCTTGTTCGCGCATGACAGTATCGATAAAAATAACGAAGAGAAGCGCGAGGATAGAATAAAAAAAGAATATGCTATTTCTTTTTTAAGAATATAATTTTGCGGGAGAACAAGGATAGCATCGGAGGGAAAAAAAGACGAAAATAACGTCAATAACGACCTGTTAGAACTGGTCAGACACAATTCCGAGGAGCAGCGAGACTGCATAATTCAGAATGTCGATTCCACGCACACAAACAACACACACATACAAATATATACTGCTATATGACACATATACGTAAATATATACATTTTACATTTATGTTATATGATAATTATACTTGTTAGTGTTTGTTGAGGACCATCTTAAAATTTCGTAACTTTTTGAAAGCAACCGTAATCCATCTCATCGATCCGTTGGACATGTACAATAATACACCGAGAGTATTGAAGGTGAACGGCAAAAAGAACTTGGTAATTGGAACCGATAAAACATTCAATCTCGAAATTTCGCAATTTCCTACACATACACAGAAAGAGCGAGAGAGAGAGAGAGAGAGAGAGAGAGAGAGAGAGAGAGAGAGAACGAGAACGAGATTAAAGGATTCCTACTGACTTTTATTATGCGGAATAGAGAAACAGCCAGGAAAGCGTCTCACGTGAGATCCACGGTGAGAATTTTAAACAATTTCTCCTGTTTTCCGGCTCTCCCAGATATGCGTTATATACTCCGATCTTTCGGAATAGAAACATCGATGGAGAGAAAGGTGGTCGATGTAGCGTGAAAAATAGCGTAGGCGCGCCTACCTGCGACGACGGTCAAAACGGCGCAGAGTAGCGCCGCTTCCTGGAGCCTCATCGTATACCGCGCGCCGCGTCTCGGTATTCCCCAGCTGATGGTCGCTCGTTCCAATCCCTTCGCGTGTGTCTTCCCTCGCTCAATTCGTGCAATCCACCGCGACCACGGCGACGTATCATCAACCGACCACCAGGTTGATCCGCTGCCGCGACACTGCCAGGGGTATTGGGGTACACCGCGATCGCCACTGCCGTCGCGACAGTTCTCGGGAACTGGCCGGCACAGGAATCAGTTCTCAGCTCATTGGCTGACCACTTTCTACCGGAGCGGCGCAACGGCTCGCCGTCGGGACAAACCGACGAGGAAAGCTGTCTTTCGATCATATCAGACACGATACACCGCCGATTCACAGTTTGCACGAAATCTTTTCCGCTCATTTCGCTTTCAAACAGGCACGAATCGGCGCAGTTCCGTGTAACGATCACCGGAAGTCAAACAACTTGTGCTAACAATTCGATAATATTGAAACAGTCAAATGGAACGTTAGAATTTTATGTACAACTGCTTTTACGCAAGTTAGAAATACAGTTATTGATAACAACAATTTTATTTAATGAAAGGAGACTCTCTCGCTTCTCTTACAGAAATTTAATTTAGTAATAGTTAATTTAATACTGAAAGATTGATTACTTATTTTGAATATTAAAAGCACTGCTGTTTAATAACAATTATCCTTAATAATAATAATTAATCACTATCTTCCAGTATTAAATATTCGTAAGGGTTTATCTTAGAATTCGATCGTATATAGCAACAACTGCTTAACACGGCGATATATTATTAAATGTAAATGCTAAATTTGCACATTTTTAATAGCTTCTATAGTAATTAATTATATAGACTATTATATGTATATAGACATTGTATATGAAATATACTTAATCCTCGTTGAATTAAGCCATTCGGAAGCTCATCGTTATCTATCCTGTAGGATTTAGAATCAGATATGGTATTCACCTTCTCTAGGATTTTAATGGCGACGCCGCAGAGAGCCCGTCTTTAACGAGGCGATTTAGGAACCGGTCGGAGGAATCTCGCGAGCGCCGGAGGTGAGGGCTCACAGATCAATTTTAGTAATCTGTGGTCCTTTTTTGCGTTTTTCTTTTTTCGCAGACTTCTTTTTTATAGAATCCTCGCGCTGGCCGGCGTGCGCAGCACTCCTATACGGATTCAAATAGGCCGGATCGCGTTCCGTAATATTCAACTCCTGTTCGACCAAACGAAACATCGTGATGGTCGACTTGTTCAGCAAATACCGCGTTTGATTGGCGAAATTCAGGGACCAGTGTAATGTGGAGTTCCATCCCGGCTGTGTTCTTAGTATCCTATGAGTGATGTCCGGCAGATGCAAAATGATGTCTCCGAAGAGCGCGATGTTCTCCAGGATGCTAGACAATGCTACAATAAATACAGTAAGTAAAAGAGAGAAATCAAAACAAGCATTTCAATTTATTATTTCTTATGAAATCGCTATTTCATTCTATCTAATTAATTTTAAATATTAATTTAATATTTCCAGATATCTATCGTACTCAAACAATTAATAAATCAATAAGCAGTGTTAGCAACATGCTAGCAGTTTATCAGCACATCCGAGTAGAATATTGTGATACAGATTGGCGTCAATTGTTAAATTCGTGCTGTATATGAGACATAACTAACAGCACAGATAAAAATATTGTTATACGTAATATTTTTAAGAATTTGTCGATTTTTAAATTTATGAAGATTTCTACCTCACACTTTTTATAGATTTTATAAATTTTTTTCAGAAATTATATGCAATATATGAAAAATCTTAGAATGTTTCAGAAGTCACATATGTAAGTATATGAAGAATTCTAGAAAAGATTTAGGCTTTCTCAATACTTTTGTGAAAAATGTCAATTTCAATTTAAAAATTATAAAATTATATGTGCAGAAATTTTGAAAAATTCTAAAATTTACATAAAAGTGCATGAAGAATTCTAAAAAAAATTTTCAAAGATTACCAGCAGAACCAAGTACAGTCTCTCATTTTGTAATTATTTAAATGATTCCAAAATAGTAGATTCTAAAATTTACTCGACATTTAGATAGGATAAAATTTATGACAGACACTTTACAGAATCTTTTTGACAGATTCGCCTATTTGGATAAATAATCGTACCATCTTTGACGTTGGTGTCTTCTGGAAAAGAACTGTTGTGCTGTAGGAAACCGGCCTTCTCGAGGACACTCTTACTCGATTCAATGACCTCCATTACCTTCTCGGCTAGCATTGCGATCATTTTGTACAGACGCTCGTAATTATCCATCTTTAAAAGAGTCTGCACAGCTTCAATGTGATCTTTTCGTCGTTGAGCAAATAATTTCTTGACTGTTACAGAAAATAGTTGAGAGGTAATAAAGTAATAAATTAATATAAGTATAATACGACCTACTGAACACAAAGTAACAGTAACACATACATTATATCAATGTTATAATTTCCTATTCAAAAATGTAACTGTTACGTACAATGTGTGTTACATAACGATTACATTATTGTTAAGTAGGAAATTATAATATTGCATTGATGTAACGTTATTGTTAATCTGTTTTTAACGGAAGTTAAAAATCAAGATAAAATGCTAAATAAAATATTTAGCATAAATAAGATAATTATGAGGTAAAATATTTTAGGATAAATAAAATAAATATTAAAAATATTTAATGAAAATACTTAATGTAACTTAAAGTAAAGCATTCATTTATTAGTAAATAGAGTGGCGAAAGTGCATTGATAACTCTAGACTTGTTCTTTGCCGCTGCATATTGGACTGTACTAAAACTTAAATTTCTATCGCTTTCGTCAAATTTCAAATATATATATTATTTCTTTTAAATACAATAAATATACATTAGATTAGCTATAAAGAACAGACTTTCCATCCTTCTCAGCTATATTTTTTCACATTTTGCCCTTAGCGAATACCTTTCTCAGAATTTTTTATATAATTTTTGTATAATTTACAGAATTTTTTAGAAGTTCTGAATATTTTTGTAACTTTTTAAAACATTTGTCAAATTTTTTTTTTGGAAAATCAAATTGAATACTTTTTAGAAGTGCCGAGAAAGTCTACATTTTCTTTTAGAAATCTTTATATATGTAAATTTTGAAATGTTCTAAGATTTCTCATTCTGTAATTTGAAATCTATAAAAACCAAAAAAAAGCTAAGGTATTTTTTTTTAGAAATTTTAAAATATTTCAAAAATTTTAATTACATATTTAGAACATTTTAAGAAAAGATATAGGTACATTTTTTTAATATTTTTGAAAAGTATTCTAATTCGTATAAAAATCTTAAGTAAAAAAATTTTCTTTAGGTGCATATTTAAAGCAACATGCAATTATAAAGCTACCGCTAAAAAATGGGACGGACACAAAAAAATAAGTTCAACTTATTGTTAGCACATACCACAGATGAGACTATTAAATTGATTCTTATGGAAGTTCACGTGACTGTTAAAATTTAAATGATTAAGAATAAGAAGCTGATAAGATGAAAATATTCAAGGACTCTTAGTATAACAATAATTAATACAAGTCAGAAAGGGCGATGTAAGAGTCAAACGATAAAATTTCATGTTTTATTAGTCTCGTAAACATGTATATATGTTTAAAACTAGTACTTTTATTTAAAATTGTGATTTTAATGTTATCATCCGAGTTTATCAATATATACAGATTATAAAACTGCAAAGAAAAAATATTATAATTTTTCGCCAATAGATATTATAGCATTAATAGTATATATACTTGTTTATACAGCATTTATAATTCGCAAATTTTTATTAACTGTCGATAATATCATATAGTTCTTCAATTATTTCCCATTGTAGTCACAAAAATTTGCTCAGAACCGACTATCTTTATTATATGTTTCTACAATAAGAATTAGAACAAACCGCTGCCATCAATAGCTAAATTTACGTTGATAATGAAATTTTGGTCAATCAAAAGTCGTGACCACATTGTCTTAACTCTTATTATAGGAACACTATTAAAAAATAGTATCTCGTCGGTGACAACATACACAGTTCTTCGTTGGATTTTGATTTAGATTCGCCGCCTTTTCGCGACTCGCTCGCGACTGGCTCATCACCTTCTCTCTGCGCATGCGCGAGTATCATCAACACTGATGCAACCACGATAGCGTAAGGAAAAGTGTGCGGCAATCGACACGTCCACGAGTGGAACATTGCGATGAAAATCATCCAGCGAGCAACGATGTCGTCGAACGGTGTTCACTCCGCCGTGACACCGTCGAAAGGGTATTAACCGGCGACACCGATTGATATATATCTTATTCGAACGCGGTCACGCCGCAATTCCACCACTAGCGACACTAATGCCACCTGTCGACGTACCAAGCCGTCTGGAGCCGTCATTCTCGGTTCTCATTGAGAATCATTATTTATCATTGTTGATAGTCTTGATTCGTTGGATTCATAGCCGAAGGAACGCGACCGCGCGATATTGCAATCGGATAAATGCTGCGTCTTCATGGCTTCACGTTGCCGTCGATAACAAATCGTGGTAAGCGCGAATCGGCGAGCTGAGGAGACACGTGTGTGTTCTATTCTATCGCGAGTTTGTCGCGAGCGGTCGACGACGTGTCAATCGGCGACACGTGCATGACGTTTCTTCCTTGATATGCTTGGAGCGCATCGTTCACGGGATCGTCGACGTTCACCTCATCCTAGCTCCAATTAACGACTCTACTCATCAGTAATCAGTCAGCTAGCAGTGGTCAGCAGCGAATATGGCGGCGATGGATGGCGAGGCGAAGCTCGACGCAAGTATCATCCACTACAATTTACCAAACGTCATCGTGTCCCGATGTCTACTTGCTGAGACTCGCTGTGACGAGTATAATTGGAGGATACGATTTCGTAGATACATTCTTGTCAGGCATACGTTACGTTCAATGTTTTGTATTACATTCAACAGATGTATGATGATGTCATGTACGTTGTTGATCCTCAACATGTTGAGGGTGAAATGACAGTTGGTACAAAACAGAGATCAACTTTAGGAGAGCCAGAATTTAATACCTTAGATGAGCCCATCAAAGATACAATTGTAAGTAGATGTTTTGCTAACGAGAGACAGATGACGCTGCAACAGTGAAGTATTTCACCTCTTCCTCTTGGTACGATTTCGGAGCTAACATCAAATCTGTAATAGAGATTCTGTAATGAGTCAATAAAGCCTTAACCAGTGTTAAGCCTAGTTGCCTTAACCCTAGTTGTACAAGTTAGCTATTGGCTTAGCATATGATAGCTGACTTATAATCTTAAAGTCCAGTTTCACAACTCATGATTAACTCTTAACTGAAGTATGACTTAATTTTATCTCTTTCTAATTTTAGGAATTGAAAAGAGATAAGAAATAAGTTGAATTTTGGTTGAGTTAACTACGTGTTATAAAACTTTAATTCCTAAACGTACAGAGAATGTAACAAAGAATATAATTGAGTAGATCATAATGGACCCACTATCAACTTTGGAGAATTAATATTGACAAATAACATAGATAAAAATGATTCAATATTAAAATATCATTTTAAAGACCATGATGTGAACAACATATCTAATAATTGAGAAATAAAGGATCTTAATGTGAAAATAATTCTGTGTGAATTTATATACAATAATTCATTGTTACATTGCGTCAACTGTTGTCTTTTATTGAAAACTTCCATAGTCTTCTATATTTTTGTACTTCTGCTATGAAATTATAAAATTTTGAATAGTAATATGGGGAGAGAGCAACAAACTTTTAAACTTAATAAAGCAACAAGATCTAGGAGTGCATAAATCATTTTGTTATGTCACGAAAAAAGATATCAATTTGTTTAAACAAGCTACTTTGTGGCACAACAAAGTCTGTGCTTTGAAGCAATAAAACCCAATTCTACTAATGTACGATTAAACTTATTTTTTATTACTTTTTTCTAATTCTTAGAATTCTTAGAATTGATAAATGCTAAAGATTAAATTGAATCAAGATTAAAGTTAATCATACATTGGTGGAAGCAAAATTAAGACACAAGAATAATTATTCAAATATTACTATTGATTAATGAATTACATTCTAAAAGTAACCTACGGTAAATGAACACCTCTACATCTGATAACTACTTTCAAACTTTCATGAAAATTTTTTATTTATACAAATTTTAATTTCAATCTAATTACATTTACTGTGTTTTGAATAAGGTACTTTAAAGAAAAAAATGTTTAAAACAAAATCTCAAAATATTTTTTAACAGAAAAATAATATATAGTAGACAATTCAAGAATTATATTCTTCATGTAATATTATTGTATAAATTGTCATTTTTTTTTTATAATAAATCACTGCAAAATTTTCCGTACATATCTTTGACATTTTTATTGCATATATGTGATATAATTTACAATAATTATATTTCTATCTGATATAGTTGAGGGACGTTCGAGCAGTAGGCAAGAAATTTTTCCATGTTTTATATCCTAAAGAGAAGAAAAGTCTACTGAAAGAATGTGAGTCTATGAATGACAGAACTCCGTTAGTGTGTGTGTGTGTATAAAAAGATCATTATACAATATGTTTGCATATTTCAGGGGATTTATGGGGACCATTAATATTGTGTACTTTTATGGCAATGTAAGATATATTTACATTGATGTCATAGATATATATGAAAAAAATTACACGTTAATTCACAATTGCGCTTCATTTAGGATATTGCAAGGTTCAACTGACGTAGCAGATAATTCAAACGATGGAGGGCCCGAATTTGCAGAAGTGTTTGTTATTGTATGGATTGGATCTATGGTTGTTACATTGAATTCAAAACTGTTGGGTGGAAATATGTAAGTAAACAAACTGTAAATTTTGACTTATTAATTGATTTATAATTATTGTAATAATTATGAAGTAATTTTTTAAATAGATGATAACAAATATATTCAAATTTACAGATCTTTTTTCCAAAGCGTTTGTGTCTTGGGGTATTGTTTATTACCGACTGCCATCGCACTAATTTTATGCAGAATCATACTGATAGTGCAGCAAAGCACTCTTCTATTTACTCTTAGATTGGTGATCAGCATGGTTGGATTTTTATGGGCAACATATGGTAAGTATAGCATCAAAAAAAATTCTAATAAGATTCATTTACACATCTTTCGGTATAAATCATTACTCAAAAGAATTATTTCTTTAAAATTTATTAATATTTCAGCATCAATGACATTCCTAGGCGACAGTCAGCCCACAGGCAGGAAAGCATTAGCAGTATATCCAATTTTCTTGTTTTATTTTGTTATATCATGGCTAGTTATATCCCACACTACATAAAATGCAACACAACAATTAATTTGCTACAAGACTGCGCATTGCTCCGACCTTCTGTGTAAATGCCAGGAGACGATGAAAAAATAATCAGAAGGTGATGCAATGTTTTTCATATTTCCAAGTCCTGCATTTGGACGTATTCCAATATTGTGCGTTCGTGAATAATACACAAGTATAATAGACAAGTATTTATTATCGTCCTAGTAATTCGATATGTCAATTATGACTATTAAGAGATTGTGATTATATAATGTTTAAATCTTACTAAATGCACACTACAATTTAGATAAATTTATGCCGATAGATAAAAATAGATTCTTTCTCCATGAATGGAAAATTCGTTTGACTCTGGTATACATTTGTTACAGACTTGATAAGGAAAAAAAATCGTTATAATATAAGCAGTACTTGCTTAACATTAATTCTAAACTGCTACATCTAGATATCTGTTAAACTTCCATAAATTTTTTAACCATTTATTTTTTTTATCAAATTCCGATTTTAACATTAATTTAGAGAGGCAGAAGTTGAAAGAGTACATTTGTATCTTTTGTATATTATGTACATAAATTACGTTTAAATCATGTTACAATAAAAAAAAAATACAATATACAATAAAAAAATACAATATAGAATATAAAAAATTTTCGTTGTTTATTTCATATATGTGAGAAGTATCTTTGCAATTTCCGTAAAAGTGTCTTACTATCGTAATGTATGGGATAAGCACTCAACGATTTTTGTACCGCGATATAACTCGTCTGTAGGTCTCCAACCTGTATGTGTATTGAACAAATATGTAGTATATATTTGGCATATGTCACAATATATTAGAAACAATTACCTCGTAAGCTAAATGCGCACTGTTGAAGTGCGCTTCGTACACATAACTAGCGATATTAGCTGCTGCATGAAAATATGTTCTCGCCGCGGTAACGTTTCCGTTGCGCATCTCTATCACGCCAAGATTGTTGTAAGCCAGAGCATGTCTGTTATCGCTTGCAATGACTAGTCTCAAACACTCCTCAGCCATTATCAAATCACCCAACGTCTGAAATCACATCTATCCTATATAATTTGTTTCAAAACGAGTGATAAGTTATACATACAATAGCAATATGAGAGATGTTGTACCACACGTCAGCCACATTCTCGTCGGTTGCGAGATTTAATGCTCTTTCGAAACACGATATAGTATGATCGTATTGCTGAGCATAGAAACAACAAAGTCCGAGATTATTAAACAACTCGGCGTTATGTACGCCCATTTGCAAAAGGCGCCTGGAATACGTATATGTTATCTATATTTATTAAAATTTACTATTATTATGTACAGAGTTGGGAAACAACACCGTTACTTGTAATGTCATTATATCAGAAGGTTTGCGGGTTATCGCCGTGTCTTTCTTCATTGTTAATGCCTACTTGTTGAAAAAAGTTACAATGACATTACAAGTAATTGTTTTTTCAGTAATGAATGGGTAATAATGTTATATTTCTTTATTTAACATTAACGGTAACATTGATGGTAACTTTGTTGTTACTTTGTTATATGGGTAACGAATATATAATCTTTTATTATTTGTACACACGCGTACAATACATGTGTATGGAACCTGTATAAGCGAATTTCAAAAGAAGAAAGTTTAATCATGTTGCAATTAATCACAATACCATCATTACCACATAACTGCTATAGATCCCGTGTTGAAATAGAAAAGTAGTGATCAAAATTGAGGAAAGAGATAATCAAAATTTAGTGAAAAAAAGTAACAGAAATTGTAACTTATTACTTTGTGAATAACGGTAACGATAATAAGTTAGATGCTTTCTAAAATCAGTAACGAATAACGATAACGAATTATTTCTTAGAAAAAAGAACGGTAATGAATTACTTTTGCGAAGTAATTTTTCCTGGTTATGTATAAATAAAGTATTGAAGATACAAATGGACCTAATCGTATAGTGAGTTTAAAGAAATTAATCATTGTGTAAAACGAAAAGAGTACATACGGTCTATTCGTAACTTCAATGTACATATTACGTTTATGTATACCTGTAATAACGCAAAGCTAACTCCGGTTGATCATTGTAAAAATGATGCATGCCTATACTGGCGATAGCCTCGGTATGAGAAGCGTCCTCCTGTGCGATCACCTTGTAATATTTCATGGACATCGTTGCGTTATTCAGGCCCTCGAATATGCGACCCATCTCTGTGAGGATCGTAACATCGTTCGCAAAGTACTCAAGGCCTCTCTTGCACGTATCCAACGCAGCCACCGGCTGATCGAGCCGGATATAGACTCTGATCAGTCGCAAGACCGTTTCGATGTTTCTATGATCCTTCAATGCCGACTTGAACTGTTGCTCCGCATCTCTTACTAATCCCAAGGTATAATAACACTTTCCCAGCTGAACTTTCCACCACCAATCTTTATATTGACAAACCTGCGTCGCCTGAACAGCCAAGTCCAACGCCTGTGATATATTTAATATTTAATTTAAAATATAATACCTCTCAATGATATCTGTCAATATAATATAGGTTTACTCACATATCTCGCATCATGTTCATGATAATATATATATTCGAACAATGGTTTTGCTATGCTTTGCTGATTAGCATATTTAGTTATATTCAATCGTGATAATTGGATAAATGGTCCACCAGGTTCTGTCAACATTGACGCTGTACCAAGCCTTGGAAGAAGATCTCAGTTAATCTTTTCTTAATATTATAATTAAGATATTATAATTACGCACATACAAGTCACATTTTGTAACATACCTAACACTGCGCCCTGAACTTGCTGTAATTGGCCTAGCAGTCATTGCTGTTCTCGGTGTTCTCAATACCTGCTCAATCGATTGGGACATCGCTGCCTGAGTGGCAGGCCGTATTACTCCAGTAACAGGTCTGCCTTTAAGATATCAATACAGAATTTAGTTTTAAAATGCAAGAATAAAAATTGGAAAAAGATTAGAAAATCTTTTCAGATGAATTCTGACAAACCAGATTGTGATTTAGGCCGTACTCCCTGACCAGTGTAACTGGTGCCAGGATTTCTCAATGAAGTACCTGGCCTGGGCATTGTCGATATTGCATAATTGTCTAATAAAGTCTCAGCGATTCCTTCCTCCTCACCTTCGATATCATCCACATAAACTTGTAGCGTTAAAGCACGCATTTTCAGAACCCACACAGCCTGGTAACGAAGTCATGTCACGACTGATTCGTAAACAATTCCGCGCATAAGAAATAAAGAGAGAAACATACCTGATCTAGTGGATTTTTTCTTAATAAATCCGTGCATATTGAAGCGCACGCTTCGTACTTTTGTCGACTGAATAAACTCAAAGCTGTAAATAATTCCATATTCAACAAAGTCTGAATTTCCTCGGAATGGAATATACTTATGTCAGTTTCTTAGCATTGATTCGATTATTTTATACTATACTATACCTTGACGAACCACTCACCTTACGCAGCTGTCGTACAAACACATACGAAATTATTGATTATTTCAAGTTATTTCTTTACGACGGCGTAAACGTAAAATCAGTAAAATACAGAAATAGTGATAATAATAGTAATAGAGTAATATAATCACGAATATATAATAGTAATTAACATGATATAAATATAAGATATGCTTATAAAAATAGGGTACGCATATATTTATATATTACATATATTTATATCATCGTAGTAATCGATATGATGGAATTTTATTATGATAATCGATGTAATGATATGATTGGTATTTGTTTTTAATCGTGCGAAATGAATATATACATGGTGGAAGACCATGGATATAAGTATCATATACAAATATTCGATGTAATCCTTAATGATTTTGATGGTTTCTAGGAACGTGAATGGATAAAATTATCAAATGCATTCTTGATATGCTCTTAATCTAAGAAACCAAGTTATTTTTTCATTTATTAGAAAATTGCGATGGCATTTATTAATAAAAATGATCCAAGGTTAGTGAAAAAAATAGCTAACTTGTTATTGTGACAATTTATATAATTATTATTTACTATGTATGTGAGAATTACTATTGTAGTATACAAGAAGCATTCGAGCGATTTTTCGGGATGAAAACTATAAAGGAGCAATGTACCGAGCAATCTTTAACACGTTTACACAATGCTTTCTTGGTAACTAGACATTTTTCTTCGCAAAAATGTAATAATTTTATGATTATTTTTTCACAAAGATGTAATTGGATATGTTCAGGCAACACAAAATGGGGAGATGGACTCTTCTCAACTATATAATGTTTTTCGAGACATCCTTGAAATAAAAATGTCACAGGACAAATTTCAAGTTTTCTTCAACAAAGTCAGTTAACCGTTGCCTTCTTCCAATTTTTTTTAAATGTCTTTCAAAATATAATTGTCAATTCAGATAAATACGGGACTTAATGACAAGGTAACGTGGGACGAATTCATTTCTTACTTGCTGATAGAATTTCGGGATACAGACACTAGTTTGAGGTCGCAAATGTTGGAAACGCCGTTAATGGATTTACCCAAATTGTTAAGAACGCGTCATCGCACTCCTGTGTGCAGAATTACATTTTGCCCGGAAGTTTTACTAGTATGCGGTCAACGTTAAAAATTTGCCTGGTGAAAAATTTCTTAGAACTATTCTATAATTTTTCAGAATTCTATATAAATTTCAAAATTTTTCAAAATTTCTACATAATTTTATAAGTTTTAAAAAAATTTCTCTGATTTTTTATATAAATTAGAACTTTTTAAAAGTGTAAAAAAAATTTTAGAAAAACATTTTTTTCTCTAAAATTCTTAATATTTACAAGGTAAGGCATTTAAAACAGATTACCTAAATAATTGATCGCTTACGTTTTTGACGAAAAAATGTTTCACATGAAAATGGGAACGGTTTCGAGGGGACATATTTTGGTCATATTGTATTTTAAAATGGAACTAAGTACGTGACTTATTTTACATAATAAAATTTCTTTTACAATTTTGCATATAAAAATATGAAGGTATAGATATAAAAAAAAATAATAATTTACACTTTATTCTGACATATATTGATATAAAATATTTAATAATAAATCTTATTAAATAAAAAATATTAATAAACTATTAATTTTTTAATAAACATACCTTAACACATTTATGAACAGAATAATGAGACAAATATCAATTGGTGTAAAGAAAACAAATAGTTACTTATCTAAAAAAATTATAATAAAATAAATTAATAGAAGGCTCAACAAGTATAAAACAAATTGATTAAAAATAAGAGAAAAGAGCCAATAATTTTTTAAAAAAGATATATAAATGTAATTAACTTAAAATTGCAATACATTCAACAAACAGAGTAAAATTCGCAAGTAAGAATTCGCACATACGTTTCGACACCGATCGGGTCACATTTTCAATGTTAAATTTAAAATTAAGTGTGTATAATAGAATTAACACACTTAATTATATACACACTTAATTTTAAATTTAACATTGAAAATGACCCGATCGGTGTCGAAACGTATGTGCGAATTCTTACTTGCGAATTTTACTCTGTTTGTTGAATGTATTACGATTTTGAGTTAATTACATTTATATATCTTTTTTAAAAAATTATTGGCTCTTTTCTCTTATTTTTAATCAATTTGTTAAAAAAATTATATTATCTATTTTATTTACATATTCTTTTTTTGAAGCAACTATAATATGTGTTTTCTTTACACCAATTGATTAATCTCATTATTATTTATACTTTCATCTGGAACATCTTTTTCATATCATCAAAAACAAGCGAATTGATCTATTTTAGATGCCTGACCCTGTATATAAATTCACAGAAACATTTTAAGATTTCTATAATTTTCCACGAAAACTTTTAAAATTTGAAAAAGTTTAGGATATTTAGTAATCTTAAAACATTTTAAAACCAATAAGAAACAAATCGTAATAACGGTCAAGCTGGATCATAGGTGCTGCTTCTATAAAATTGTATGTGAATTTATATTAATAAATTTTAAATATTAAAAGTTCTTAAAAATATTACAATATAAAAATTTTTTTGCCAAGATTGATACGCGATTCAATTAACTTTTCTTTTATTACATTTTGTCAGAGAAAGCTCACTATTATATATCTCAATAGTAATACTTTTTTATATTTTGGAGTATATGTTAGAGAAATATATTTCTTAATTATAATGGAAAAACTTTCTGATTTTTAACAAACAAAATTGATCGACTTTGAATGCCTTCCAACAAACGACACAGATGACACGGTATGTGACACAGTGTATCAGTACGTCCTTGTTGTTCGCCAATGTTAAACAAGGATGAGATAATCATTTTTATATCGATCACTCTTCCAAAAAAAAATTCTGTCTACTTGTGTGTCTTTACGATTATTGTAGATTTATTATGTTAATTTTTAGGACAGAAGCACAAGTTTCCGCCGAGGTTGTTATCTAACTGTTAGCCGAGAAGGAGTGATTAATTACTGGTCATTAGATCTTAACTACGAACGTACTGTGCAATCGAAGAATCGTTAGTATTTCTTATTAACTGCTCTCTCATCTTCAACTAACACTTTCGGTGCTTTTTTTGCAGCGTTCTTAAAAGTGCAATCTACTGTTATAACTGATATGATTGTACTACCAGATGTTCAGATGGTGTGTACAAGTTCAACGGAATGCGATTTGAGATTTTACGATGTCGCGGCAAAAAAGTTTGATCTTCGCATACTGGTCAATGATCAATCCAGATTTCGTAAAATTGTATCATTATCCATATATCCATTAATTATAATTAATAAATGATATTTCTAGATATCCAGTTTGGAAAATGCAGTTGTTTGCATGCACTACTACTTCAGTAAAAATATGTACGAGAATTCTTACATCGTCCTGGGTGATACGAGTGGGTCTGTTACAATCATGGCCTTTAACCCTATAGATAGAGGACCTTTCAAGCAATATACCGCAAGTGACTTGGCCATTTTCCGTTACGACAATGTCATCAAAGTAAGTATAATAACACCTGTTGAAGTAGGTCACTCAGGATCATGATCTTAACAATACATATACCAAGGTCAAGAACACTGGAGAAGCCTCCTCTAAAGTGAATAATTGTTTTATTGCACTAACTCCAAAATAGTTTTACATTTAATTAAGTTTTATTCCAAACCCAAATTAAAGCTTTGCTCCATAAAGATGTAGTTGAATACTTTGCGGAAAATTTGCTAAAAGATTATTACAATTAGGGGGAGCTACAAGGATTCGATGTCATAGAATTCAAAAATATACATACAAACTGGACGAGCCAGGTAGCTTATTATGGAAGCTTACGTGCATTTGTTTCGAGTAGCCAATGCTCTGATTGTTCTTTGTGCGTTTTCGATGCAAGTGGAACAAGGACGCAATATAAATTTCAAGTTCTCATGGGAATATCCTGTTTCACGCTCTGCGACGGTATCCTGTCGCTTTGCAATCGAATACGGAGATTTTAATGTAAATTAAATCCGCTTTTAAAACGTAATGATTTTTTTCAGAGAGTCATATATTGGTAACGGGTGGACCAGACTGTGTGGTTCGAATTTGGAATCCGTTTGTCCCTGGGAAAGCAAATGCTGTTCTATCAGGGCACCGATCGACTATCTGCGCGCTTGTCGTAACTAATGCCGGCAATCGCATTTATTCCTTGTCGAAAGACAGATGCGTAAAAGTATGGGATGTTCCAGCTCTTAGCTGCATTCAGGTTTGAAAAATTATAGCTCTTATAGATACAATAATAGTCTCCTTTCTGTTAAATATTTTATTTCGCTTACGTTATCATTTAATACATAGGAAGTTATCCTATATAATATATATTCTTTTAATAAATAATAGAAGATACATTTCGTAAACAGACCTACAACAAATTACCCCGTGAGCTAAGTGAATACACTCCGATGACCGTAGTATTCAACACGTTGACCTGTACGATGATTATTGCCAGCATGATGATAGCTGTCCTCGTTTGCGAGCATGTAATTAACGAGGAAACCTCGGACGGGTATACGCATACCAAGGGCGTCAGTTGTGTTCTCTATAATCAGCTGTTCCGTGTGGTAACTTCTTCTTTTATCCGAAAATCATTAATGAAAATTGAATTGTTTAATAAAACAGTTGCACAGTCCAATAAAATAACAAATATATTGTTCAATAAAACAGTAAATAATATTTGTCATTTTATCGGTATATAGATTGTTTCTACGGGATTGGATTCATGCATCGTCATCTGGGATCCATGGTACGGACGTCGTTTACGTTTGATATCACACGCTCATAGTATTATACAATACGGACAATATGTTGACATCGAAATCACGGCAGCTTGCTTCGATAATTCGGAGCATTTTTTAGTGACTGGCGCAAGAAATGGTTCAGTGAAGATATGGAATTACAATACCGGAGTTTGTATACGCGATATGATGGTTGATCATCAATGGTACAACATTGAATAATTATTCTTATTATTACAAATTATGTGACATTTCATTATTACAAAAGTATTGTAATTGGAAAATATTACGATTTTTTTTGGGAAAAATTATTTATATAATTTTCTTTCAAAAGTTTTTTATTGCATAATTATAATTGAAAACAAAATTACTTGAATTATGATAAATTCGATCACTCGCACAGAGTGAATAAAAAAATAAGGTCAACGTCCTCATTACGTAAAATGTAAAATATGAAAAATAATAAAAATATAAAAAAAAGTATATAAATATTAAATTTTTATTTCATATATTTTTTTCTGCAGCGAAATTACGAACGTCGCATGGTACGAAAATCGAATTCTGTGCTGCGGCTGGAATAAATACGTGACAGAATTGTCGATTTTCAAGTCTGATATGTGCAAAAAGTATTGGACGACCAGTCACACCGACGACATTCTATGCTCGACTGCGAAATTTCCGCAACTGTTGGCTACCGGATCGTACAATGAAGAATTGATTCTCTGGAATCTTGAAACGGGCCAGCCTTTTAGAAAATATCAAGTGACTGATGTTAGTAAAAGGTGATGTCAATTTGATATTTTCATGAACAATAATTGATACAGTAAATATCGGCAACTTGTAATTGACTTAATAGGTACCCGAGAATGACAAACGCACAGAAAGAGTTTGGAAAATTGGATGAGATCAACAGATCAGTCAATCAACAAATTAAGTAAATAATGCGCTTATGACTAGAAAAAAAGGTTTCTTTTGTCGAAATGTTTTTTAAACATATTTTTCGTGAAATAGAAAATTGACTCCATGTGTCCACCAAGAATCAGCATTGAATATTGTTCGCGTAACTGCCGTACGAGCGATAATTTTTCTAGCCGCGCGAGAAACGAAACCCAACGTCGGTACATTACTGGTCGCCCTTGATTCCGGCTTGGTGCAAGTATGGACGCATCATCCTGCAGCAGGATTTTTAGGAGCCTTCTCGGTCATCCACACTGTCGGTGACTGTGCCACGTCCTTAGCTACCGATTCAGAAAATCAATTTCTCGTAACAGGTTTTGGAACTTTCTAAAGATTTGATTACATCCTCAACTGTTCGCAATTCAATGCCTAAATCTTTTTTTCGAATGTTTGCAATTTTATTCCTGGAACTTTTCCTGCGAAGGTCACAGTGTAGGGTACATAAAAGTTTGGCTTCTCTCCAATTACATGCTACCAAATCCATCGAAAATTTGCATGCCGCTGCTGAGATTAGAATTCCCATTTTTATGGAAGGATAAAATAGATGGAAGAGCGAAGAGAGCAGTACGAAGTCAAATGCTGCCACTTCTACTGTCATCTGTGCGTGGTCATACGCTGGGAATTACTTCTCTTCAAATTATTTCTAGCGCACGAGTGATAGTTAGGTATATACAATTGAAAGGATGGACAGAATAAAGGCATAATTTCACTTAAGCTTTTTTCGGAGATTAGCGCAAATGAACAAGGAGTTGATGTTGCTTATATTAGTTCAATATGAATATGTTTTGAAAGACCTGTAGTGGTCAAAATAATCTATGGAAAAAGATATAATTGTTTCTATAAATTATATCATTTTAATGAAATTTTTACCAGAGACTGAACCAAAATGGTACGACAATAATATGTTTGATGTACAACGTATTTATATTAAGAAATTTTCTCTTGTAAAATAACTTTTAAAATATTGATTATAACAGAGAAATATTATATAATATACAACTTCTCAAAGACATTACATAAATGTACATTTAATATTGTTTCCATTTGTTGAATAGTAAAAAAGTAGCAAGTTATTTTAATTTTTATCAAAATCAAGATTTCGTAATTATTAGAGTTTTATTCCGTCCATCCCCTCAATTATTATAAAGATTGATACAGGTACGTCTCTTTACTAAAAAGTTTAAATAAATAACAGCGGTAGTGCAGATCGCACGGTACGTTTGTGGAGTTACGGAGGTCGTCATGTATCAACACTGGGCACGTTTAGAGATTGGGTTCCGATTTTGCCCACTGTGCCTATACAAAAATATTTCGAGGATTATAAGCTTCCAGCAGATATTATTAGGGGATTTGCCAGTTCTACCACTTTAAAAGTAAATTTAAAAAAAATATATATATATATACGGAAACGCAATGTATACATTTGAGATGATACAAAGGTGCTTCATGGTGGTATGAGACGACGACCGATAGAGATCGAGGAAAAGGAAATTGACATTTCAAAAGAAACTCTTGAAGAAGAGCGACATATGTTGTACGGGAAGGAATTAGACAGTTTTGTGCTCGAGACATATTATAAATCACAGTTGCCTGAACAAACCTATCAGAAATACCTGCGATTAGACAGTACCTTGCCATATGTGAGTATATGCATATATATATATATTTTTTATATATTGTATTAAAATACAATATATATACTTATACTTATTATTTATTATATATTATTATATAATACCGGATTCGGTTGGATGCACTAATGCATGTTAATGTCGATGCACACTGATTTATTTGATCTATGTAAAATGCAAATATTTCGAATTATAAAATACAGACTTTACTTAACAACACAAAATATATTCAAGATTTCAGTGTGTATTTAATCTATTTTTATATTTATATATTGAACATACATTTTTCATTCAATATATGTACGGTGGTTTTAATGCGCACTGAGTGCATCCAATCGAATTCGCTATAATACGATTTCAACTTATAGAAATTTTACATTTGTAGATACCAATTTACACGTATTTACCGATATACTCTTTAAAACCTGTAGAGGCGCAGAAAACACTCCTGCTTGGACAGAAAATAGAACTTACGTATGGATTTTCATTTTTATTTGAAATCATTGATAAGATATCACACAAGGTATTACGTGTCGAATATTTTGATATATTATTTTAATATTTATAATTACAGTAAAAAAGTATATTTAAGAAGAGCAATGAAACCACTGCGCTCTCCTGTAATACAAAGAGACAAAGGCACTTTGAGATGAAATCTACCGCAATGTTCTCCATTATTTGAACCTTATAAACTCTTATAAAATGTTAGTATATATATATATATTAAAACAGTACATATTTTACATATTGTATAAATTAAAAAGAGAATTAATTGACTCAATTTAGTAAAACTCATATTCGTAACAATTAATTTTTGATCTAATTATTTGCTCACTAAATCGGTTATCTAATTACATATAGGCTTTCTGTCCTCTTTAGCAAATACAATATATGTATGTATGATGATATATCAATAAGTATAAAAATTTAAAATATTAAGTCATGAAGATGCCTACATACATACATTATCGTTCTATGAATATTAGGATATAACAACGTACAACGCGATCTCATATTTGTCGAATTAAAATAATTTGCCTTAAAATTAAAACATTACATTTCACATGCATACAGTACTAACTTAAGGCCTCTGATTATATTCACACTTAAATATTTCTGTTCAACATCAATTTTTTAAAGGCAATTTTCGTTCAACAAACTCAGGTTCCATCATGGAAATACGCGGAGGCGTTTTCCAGATTGCACTGGATGTACGCTTCAATCGATTTCTATCTATACCATGGAACAATTCGGTCAAATCTGGCGTGCACTTACGAGTATCGAAGAATTTATAAATTATTGCCTCAGGAATGTGTTGTTGCATCGCAAGTTGTGTTTTGCGGATATGCGCTGCAATTTGGAAAAAAAAAAACTTATATTTACATTCTTTTTTTTTTATCTTAATGATGATTTAAAATATAAAGAAAGTACACATACCCTGCGCCCAATATGGTATCTCGTGCTTTGGTTTGCTTTCATCATCTGATTCATCATCATCAGGTTCACTATCTAATACATAATTCACGTTACCTTGGTACTTATTATTAGCTTGTTGCTTATACTGCAAAAAATCAAGTAAGCAATTTATTAGTTGTAAGTGAAAATAGAATTTAAATAATTTTCTCCAACATAAAAGATAACTCACTTTAGCTTGAGCCGCAAGTAACTGTTTCTGTTTCAAAACTTCGGTAGCGGCTTGTTGAGCTCTTGCTTCCGCTTCCCGACGTCTTTCAGCTTCTTGTTCACGACGTCTTTGCTCGGCCAACAAACGTTCCGTTTCCTCTTGTTCTTGTAACCTCTGCAATCTCTGTTGCTCTTCCAATTTGCGACGTTCTTCCTTCTCCTGCATTCTTTGCAATTGGGCGAGACGTTTCTTCTCTGCTTCTTCACGATGCTTTTCTTGAATCAAAAGAGCTAATTTTGCCTTCTCTTCCCTTTCTTTCTCGACTTTTTGCCGTTTCTCTAATTCTTGTTTCTCCTTAGCTTCTCTTGCTAATCTGTTTTTGAGTTCCTTCTCTTGCCGCTTCCTATATACAAAGTATATATCGAGATATTGTACCAACTACACATCTTTTGATTAGCATTATGAAATTTTTGTATACCTTTTTTTCTCCTCCGTCAGTAATCTCAAAGCTTCATCCTTCTTTTTTCTCGCGTCCTCCTCGTGTCGTTTCTTTTCCTCTAATTTTTCTATCGAATTAGAAGTTGCAATATTTTTTGATGGTTGAATGAAAGACTCCACGCTAGAAATGATATTGGTACGCGAGGAAGATTTTGGATACTAAAATAAAATTATGGAAATAAATATGACATAGTGTGATTTAAGAAAGATAAAATTTTGCATTAATCTTACGTTCAGAAGATTTTGGGTGTTTGAAGGGGTAAGAAGACGATTAACAGACATTGTAGGCTGTATCAATTTTGTCTTGCTTAAAGGTGTTGTTTTTAACTGTTGCACTTTTATATGTGATTTATCAGTTTGAGTCAGTAATTTATTAATTCGTTCTGGCAGTTGTTCTTTGTTCTGAAAGAGAAAGTTTAATAATTATTGTTAATTAATTATAACAGTAAAAGAAAATAGAAAAAACAGCGCTTAAAATAATTACAAAATATAATTAATCATGGGTTCTTTTACTTTGTTACTTTACCTCTTTAAATTCGTTATTGTTTTTTTGTTTCGCTAACGAGATCTTCTTAGCTTTAGCGAGCGATTTACGAGCTAATATTTGCGTAACATTTTTCTCTGTTATTTTTATTTCTGCCTGCATTTCTGCAGTGGCCATTGCACGTGTTTTCGTTCTAGTTATTCTGATTGGAGCATCTACATCAACAGCCTTTGGGCTGTGGATAACTGCTTGTTCAAATGCTTCAACCCGTTTCTTCACAGATTCTTTTGCATAAGGACTAAATAATGCATTTGATTTATATATTTTACTTTCTTGTATGACCATGGACATATTTGTGTTTTTGAGGCGTGTTTGCACTGGTGTATTAGGGATTTCATCCTCGCTAGATGTTGCTAACATACCTTTTGTTTCTTTTTTAGTAGTTTGCTTCTTATTAAGTTGTTTCTTTGATCTTTTTATTTCAGGCGATGATTCATCATCTGTAATTAATTCATTATAATTATCGTATTGTGCAGATATTTTATGTGATTGCATATTGTTTGGCAGTGTGTTCTTAGTATTTTCCATTTCATTCGATGTACTGTTTTTTGTGTTGATTGCCTTCTGAATTACCACTGTTTCATTTAATTTTGGTGGTTGATTTGGTAAACGCTCTAATATCACAGTGGCATTCAATCCCTTTCCAGATGTAAATAGACTATTCTTTAGAGTTGAATTCATAATTGGAACAAGTTTTCCAACTGCATCTTCATATATAGATGGTTCTTCGATGTCATCTCTATTGGATGCGACAATGGCGTCATCAACTTTATTCACTTCCTTTTTCTGAGAAGTTTTAGAACTTTTACTGGAGCGTTGTAGAACTGACGATTCAAAGTTATCATCTTCATTGGTCTCCTTAGATTGTTCAGTCTTTACTTTTTCAGTTTTTACTTTTTTAATTGGAGCTGTAGACTGAGTGATCTGTTTAGAATTCTTCCTTGTCACTCTTTTTATGGTTCCTTTTACCTCTGTTATATTTTCGTCGACTTTACTATACTTAGAAGCACTCTCGTTGTTATCTTCTTCAGAACTGCTTTCAATGTATTTCTTCCTTTTACTACGACTTTCTCTTTTTGCCTAAATATTCATAAAATTCTATATAATACATCATTGTATGACAAATTGTTATATAATAATCTCAGACATAATATACCTTAATATTCTATAACTTGTAATCAATGTAATATTATACTAGGTTATTCGGAAAGTTCGTTTCAAATTTTCTAGCTCAAGATAGTATATTCTACATTTAAAATTTAGCGATTATACCATTTGATAGAGTAAAGTTTGAGCTTTAAGAATCTGATTTTTTAATTGCAGTGCAATAATTTTTAACGAAATTATGAGTAATTAAAATTAAATGTTCCTATACTTAGCTTACAAATAACTCAAGAACAAAAAATTGTAATATTAAAAATTGTAATACTAAAAATTGTAATATTAAAAATTGTAATATTAAAAAAAAAAAAAATGAGTTTGTAGGGGAAGCTTGAAACTTCCAGGATAGTCAAAAATTTTCGTAAATTTTTTTGAGCATGTGAAAGGCTCACAAAGTACAAAAAAAAAATTACAAAACTCACAGAAACTCAAAAAATACAGTAACCATTTGAATACAATTGTATATACAATTTTGAGCTAGAAAATTAAAACAACTTTCAGAACAATCTAATAATATCATAAATATGATATAGAAAATTATCATTACTTACCTTCTTTTTAGAATCATTCAGAACAAAGCTTAGTTTCTTGATATTATTCTCTGCTTTTTTAGACGCTCCTCTTTTAGTTCTACCTCCCGCTATCACTTTCTCCTTTTGATCCTCTTCATTGACAGAAGAAAGGGAAGCAGTTGGCGAGATGTTTTCCTGTTGAAACACCTCGTTCTCGAGTATAGTTTCGATACGCTGGACCACCTTCTTTCGTAGCATCTTCGGCGTCTTCACCATAAGCACGTTGGACGACGATTGTGATAAATGCGCGAACAGCTCATGCACGTAGGACACATTGTCTGCAAGAGTCTCAGCAAGACGATTCGACAATTCCACACGACGATTGTGAATAAATAGCATGTCCTTGCAAATAATATCTCTTATCTCGTCTTTCGATCGGGTATTCATGGCGGAAAAAATTAATTTATTCTAGTACATCAATCTTCGCGGTAGACACACGAGTCTGGCAATTTATTCTATCTAAAGTCTAAACAATACGAATCTCAGCAACATTGCTGAGGAATAGCACTAAATAATACAACCACAACAATAATAATAAAAATAGTAATCACGACACAAAACTGAATGAGCTGCGTACTGAACACTGGTTATTCTTTGGCGGGCTCACGGATGATCTGGATGATTGAAATGAAAGTCTCCCAGCCAGCCGCCATAAGGATAACGACTTTTTCCGTTTAATTTGAATTGAAACATTAGCGACATCTGTATCCGCTATTAATTCGCCCGAGTTTACGGGTGCACCGTTGTCGCTACTATCGATTAGAGTTCCGTAAATGGGTGCGTTCAGCAGACTCAACAGTTGAGCACAGTTGAGTGAGCGCTCGCTGTTATTGGTGCATTTTTCTAGATCTAAAATTCTGGGTATCGATCATGATACTTTTTCCCTACGATGAAAAGTGAAAAGTGAAAACTTTTACCATTGTAGTTAATGGAGAAATTTTTCACTTTTCATCGTAGGGAAAAAGTATCATGATCGATACCCTGATTGGATGATCTAAAAGAATGCATCAATAACAGCGAACGCTCACTTAACTGTTGAGTCCGCTAAATGTGACCCAGGAAGTAAGATATAAGGAGACTCCACTCCGTAAAATAAAAGTGGACCCATTTTAGGTTTCGAGTTCAGCTTCCGATTCTGATGAGTGCGAGTAAGAGAAATGATCATTTCTCTTACTCGCACTCATTATGCGCAGCACTACTAAATTCACGAGCGCTGCGAGTGTCGAGAATCGGAAACGGAACTCGAAACCTAAAATGGGTTCATGTCTTGTAGACTGGCGAGACCGAGTGGAGTCTCCTTATATCTTCCTTCATGGAGCCTACAGACCAAAGTGGCGCAGCGGTGAAGCGGCGAGCGATAGCCAATGAGAACCATGCTTTTAAGCAATTTTTGAATATGGTATGCTGATTGGGTAGCACGGCGCTAGTGCTGCACCAGTTTTCCCAGTGGAAAACGCTATCAGATAACTCTTGGATGCATTTTTGATATAATATACGTAACGTAAACTATAGCCTAGAGTTATCTAGGCGTAATTTCTGAACACAGCCAAGAATATAAAACCGGATTTTATTTTTTAATGCATATTCTTGTAGGCCTTGTAGCTTATCTCGAAAGCTTTTCAAAACACAAGTATTTTCAAACTAAATGCCATTCAGGTTATCAGAGTTTGTACCAATTATTAATATAACAATATAAGGTAATTATACAGAATCATTCAAGCAGCTTAAAAATCGATCAAATTAGGCTTATTCGACGCGTTTTTGCATGAAACAATAGAATCTGGTAGAAAAAAGTGTCGCTCTGCCCTACGAACCGAGATATTTAGCGTTAAAGTTCGAGATTTTAGAGGTTAAGATATCTGTCACTGCTTTAAAAATAACAAATTACTGCTTTAGAAATACAAAAACACTGCTTTAAAAATACAAATTCACTGCTTTAAAAAACAATTCACTGCTTTAAAACAATAGTGGAGTCCCCCAGCAGGGATAATTACCCAAAATAGGTTATACGACCAAAATTAACACTTGTAATAAAAATACAGAAAAAGAGTGATAGCGTCATATATGGGGAAGATGCGGAATACGTGCCATTTAACCTATTTTTCATTATATTCCTCTAGAACTGGTATGCGAATGAAGGTTAGAAATTATACTTTGATATTTCAAGTATCGATTTTATTACACGTTTTCTATCAATAACAAATTAATTCGCTGAAAGTCTTTTACAACATGCTGCAAAAGATACGATTTAAGCAACCGGTTGCCTAAATCGTATCTACGAGTATTATTTTATATTTTGTTGTTAGATATAATATATCTAATGTATCGATTTTAGAAAAAAAGATTTTTCAGATATCATTTAATATTTGCGAATGATATCTTAAAAAGTTCCTGTAAATCTGATCTCTTATTGTATAGGTATCAAGAAAACGAAGATTTCGAGATCGAGATATTCTTTTTCGTCTCGTATGCATTTCTAATCCTTTCTATACAAAATATTAGAACAAATATATCATTACGAAGCGGCAAATCTTCTGATATAAGCGACTCGCATTTCAATTAGAAATCAACTTTTTTATTTTTAAATAATTAGATTAAATCTAATCGTTTTATCTATGAATATCCATATATTCTGTTTACGAAAGCTGATATAAGGATTATACGTGAATGACGTTTGATATCGATGACTATCCCCCGTATTCATAGTCAGACCTTATACTTAAGGCTTCCTTAAATTTATCTTCAGATGATCTACGAATTATTTTATTGGCTACTGAGTATCTAAAGATAAATTTAAGGAAGTCTTAAGTATAAGGTCTGACTATGAATACGGGGGTAAATATCACATATAATTGCCGGTAAAAATTATAATTCTTCATAAAATTTTTCATAATTTCTCACAACTTTTCATACGTGTAAACAATTTCTGAAAAATTATGTGAAATTATGAAAATTTTTCAAATTGTCTAATGCCCGTATCACACTAGCGATTGGAGATTGCGTCTGCGTTCGCGTTTGCGTCTTTCAATCAATCAGAAAGAAGCTGCTGGCCAGCAGGTCTCGTCTGATTGGTTAAAGGATGCAATCGCGAACGCAGACACGATGTCCAATTGCTAATGTAATACGGGCATAATATGTCTCCTCATATTTTTTCCAACAATTAATAAAGAAAAACATAATTTTTTATAATGATCCGATAAAGAGTTTTGAAAAATTTTTCAGATTTTTTCCTAATATATTTTCATTTTTTTCTATGGCTCGGTTTAAATTAAATGGAAGCTACAGGAGAGTTGCCGAATGCGTACCTCATTGATATTTTATATTTAATATTTAATATATGTATATATAAGCAACATTTGATGACAAAAAATTAACGAACTAAATGAAAAATTAATAATATATAAACAAAAATTTAACAGGTTATATCTTATACGAACATTATATATATATATATATATATATTCATTACAAAGATTAAATATTTTTATAAAATCGGTCAAGTTTCCTAAATCATACCATCACAAAGTTTTCTATATCGTATCGGTATGATTTAGAAAATCGTGTTATCGTGCTATGTGCTCATGCGTATGTTCTTTGTCTCGTCTTTGTGCGATGTAATCTGGATTATACATAATTGATGTCATCATGTTATCTTCCAGACTGTGTTATCGGATATCTTTCGAACATGAACAAAAGTTCTTACTGATAGCAAATTTATTAGGTTGTAATTATATCGGCTATGAAAGCACTCGAGCGAGATTCCTAACACCATTCGTTTTTTGGGCGAGGACGCTGTTAACGAAGCACGTCCAAGCATGTCTTTTAAGGATTTAAAAGTGGAACGCGTCGAGGGTGAGTTGGCGACCGCGTTATTAAAATGGTATCCGTCTCACAAGCGTGGCTTCATTAAAATTGGTCAGAAAAAATGGTTCCTACCATACAGATACGTTAAGAACGGTGATAAAATATATAATTTCGAAATTCGTCCGGACGATACTTGGATTTTTTCGCATCCTAGATCAGGTAAATTATTTTTCTATTGTTCTATTGTAGAAATTTAAATGGACCATATAAATGCTATTAAAGTACATATTCAGATGATTCAAATGGACGAAAATTTCAATACATTTTAATCTATTCTTGTTTACTTATAAGTTATGCTAATATTAAAATTGTTAATTTATAATATTTTAAAATTTATATATATTTTATATTGATTAGGTACGACGATGACGCAGGAACTAGTATGGCTCGTGGCAAATGACATGAATTTTGACAAGGCACAGCGAAAATATTTAGTAGAGAGATTTCCCTTTTTAGAGTATAGTATTATATATACATATATATCGTATTGTATATATCATATATGTATATGTATGTACATAGGATGATTCAGAATAATATTGTTTGTTCTTGAAACATTGCATTTCTAACTTAATTATAAAACAATTTTTCATGAATATATAATTACAGTAAACTTTAAAAAATATTGATTAATTGTTATAATTTAATTTAGTTCTTTTTAGCTTTTCAAAAGTCTAAATTTCCATACTTTCAGCAGTATGGAGTTCATATTTCAAAGATAAACGTTTGTTCTGAATCACCTTGTATGCCTTATACATATACATGAAAACTAAGAAATAAATTCATATTTTTTACTTTTATACAACGTTATAAAAAAATTTTTGGCGTGAATGCTAATAAAATTTAATTAAAACAAAATTTAAATTTCCAAATGCTTATTTCGGTTTGTATACTTTTAATCAAAGAAATTTTGTTAAACCAGAGATTCTACTTTGGATTTACTAAAAGTTATAAAAAAAGCTCGAATTATTCTTTTTTTTCTTCTTACATGAAACAATGATAATCGATATTTATAATTGTGTGTAGGACACTTCACTATAATATGTTAGAAGAAATATTTTTGTTTTTAGAATAGGAGCAATATTAGACGATCATATTGCAACGGAAAATATTCCTGGCAGAGTCAATACGGAAAAGTATAGTATCGAATTTGTACAAAATCAGCCTTCTCCACGTTTCATTAAAAGTCACATGTCTTTCGAATTGTTGCCGACAGTCATAAATAGCACTTGTAAGGTATGTTTACATTTTAATATAAGTTAAATACTTATTTCTGTTACATTTATAAAAACGAACAAAAATATGATAAATGCTTAGAAAAAAAATTTTGTGGTAAATATGTTGATTGAGGGAGAATCTCTGATCATTTTGACCTTGACATATGTTATTATGACCTCTGTGTGACTCCTAACAAATCTTGACTATCGCTCGTTATTTATTAAAAAATTATTAACAAAAGAAAATTTATATAAAATACCTCTTTGTATTACAAAGTAAAACTTTAAAATATATTTTTTTTACGATTTTCCATTCATAAAGCGAGATCCACCCTATGCCTTTCCTTGACAACTGGCGTACGACGTTTTATTCAGGTAGATCTTGCTTTGCGTGCTTTTGGAAAGTTATGCGTTCCTAGACAGGGAAAAGATGGAATGGACCTCATTTCGCGTGGAAAATCAAATACTCTTTGACAGAGGTCGGGCGGGACTCGCTTGTCGTTTCGC